TTAAAGGCAATCATTGATTAAGTTTTCATGGATTAAGGTTTCTGGTGGGTGGGGGATGCCCCTCCCACATCTGACTTTGTGTATAAAAGACCCGTTGTAATTCCCAATAAGACACATCGCTTCTGCACTAGACCGGAGTCCAGTCTCTTTCTTTCTCTTTCTTCTTCCCCCCAATCACTGACGCCGTCTCCATCTTTGGGGTACCCTGAACCCAGCTGGAGCTGGTCTCCGGCAGAGACCCACCTGGGCACCTTGGCGAGACCTCATCTCTACAATAAATCAAAAAAATTAGCCGGGCATGGTAGCGCGTGCCTGTAGTTCCAGGTACTTGGAAGACTGAGGTAGAAGGATCGCCAGAGCCCAGCATGGTGGGCCTCAAAGAGCCCGATGTCATCCAGTCAACCCCCATCATTGGAGCAGGTCCCTGGCCTCTGTTCAAGATTATGCAGTAAGTAGGACTTTTCTAGGCCAAGGCGATGAGCTGGCTCTGCCATCCCTGGGGCTGGAGGTGGAGATGCATCCTCCCTCCTCCCCAGCACCCTTCCCTCTCCAGCCAGGAGAGTTGCAGAGCCCCAGTGCCTGGCTTCCCTCACAGCCCCTCAGGCCTCCCAAGCTGATGTGGGGCTTTGCCCTCTGAACTCACTCCAGGAGATAGGGTGGGGCACGTTTGGACTTTTCATCCCCATTTTAGAGAGAAGATAAAGGAAGCTTCCAGAAGCAACCACACTGTGGGAAGCTGAGGGAGAAGGTTTGCTTGAGGCCAGGAGTTTGAGACCAGCCTGAGCAACATAGTGAGATCTTGTCTCTACAAAAAATTAAAAAATTAGCTGGGCATAGAGGCATACACCTATAGTCCTAGCTATTCAGGAGGCTGAGGTGGAAGGATTGCCTGAACCCAGAAGGTCAAGGCTGCAGTGAGCTGTGATTATGCCACTGTACTCCAGACTGGGCAACAGAGTGAGATACTGACTTCAAAAAAAAAGAAGAAGCAACCACATAAAAACTTGCACATGGATGTTCATAGCAGAACTTATTCACAATAGCCAAAAAGTAGAAACAACACAAGTGCCCATCTGTAGATGAATGGTGGATAACAAAGCATAATATAGGCCTAGTGCGGTGGCTCAAGCCTGTAATCTCAGCACTTTGGGAAACTGAGGTGAGAGGATTGCCTGAGCTCAGGGGTTCGAGATCAGCCTGGGCAACTTGGCGAGACCTCGTTTCTACAGTAAATTTAGGAAAAACAGGCCAGGCTTGGTGGCTCAGCCTGTAATCCCGTGCTTTGGGAGGCCAAGGTGAGTGGACTGCCTGAGCCCGCAGGTTCGAGACCCGCCTGGGCAACTTGGTGAGACCTCGTCTCTACAATAAATCAAAAAATTAGCCGGGCGTGGTAGCGCACGCCTGTAGTTCCAGCTACTTGGAAGGCTGAACAGAAGGATCGCTGGAACCCAGCAGGTCGAGGCTGCAATGGCTCGGAGTGTGCTACTGCACTCCAGTCTGGGCGACAGGGTGAGACTTCAACTCAAAATAAATAAATAAATAAATTGGGTGTGGAAGCATGCATCTGTAGTTCCAGCTACTTGGAAGGGTGAGGCGGAAGGATCGCCTGAGCCCAGCAGGTTGAGGCTGCAGCAGCCATGAGTGTGCCACTGCACTCCAACCTAGCCAACAGAGTGAGACTCTGACTCAAAAACAAAAACAAAAACAAAAATACAACCGCTAGGCTTGGTGGCTTAGCCTGTAATCCCAGCACTTTGGGAGGCCAAGACAAGTGGATTGCCTGAGCCCATGGACTTGAGACCAGCCTGGGCAACTTGATGAGACCTCATCTCTACAATAAATCAAAAAAATTAGCCAGGCGTGGTGGCACATGCCAGTTACTTGGAGGGCTAAGGCGGAAGGATCGCCAGAGCCCAGCAGATCGATGCTGGGGTGGCCATGAGTGTGCCATGGCACTCTAGCCTGGGCAACAGAGTGAGACTCCAACTCAAAAAAAAAAAAAAGCATGGTATAGCCATATAGTAGAATATCACTGGGTCATTAAAAAAATTAAGTACTAAGGATTGCCTAAGCCTAGCAGGTCGAGGCTGCAGTGGCTGTGAGCATGCCACTGTACTCCAGTCTGGGCGACAGAGTAAGACTCCAACTTAAAAAAAAAAATGAAGTACTAATTTATGCTGCAGTAGAAGAACCTTTCAAACATCATGCTAAGTGGAAGAAGTCAGTCATAAAAGACCACATACTGCACTATTCCATTCCTGTGGAATGTCCAGAAGAGGCAAATCCTCAGTGACAGAAAGTCGACGAGTGGTCACCAGGGGCTGGTGGGAGGGCAGTGGCTGCTAATGGATACAGGGTTTCTTTTGAGGGCAGTGACAATGTTCTATAATTGACAGTGGTGATGGTCACACAGCTGTGTGACTATGATAGAAACAATGAACCGGGTCAGGCAGGGTGGCTCATGCTCGTAATCCCAGGAATTTAGGAGGCCAAGGCGGGAGGATTGCTGGAGCCCAGGAGTTTGAGACCAGCCTGGGCAACATAGCGAGACCTCGTCTTTACAAAAAAAAAAAAAAAAAACCATTAGCCAGGCGTGGTGGTGCCTGCCTGTAGTCTCAGCTACTTTGGGAGGCTGAGGGGGGAGGATTGCCTAAGCCCAGAATGTCAAGTCTGCGGTGAGCCGTGAATGTGCCACTGCACTCCAGTCTGGGTGCCACAGTGAGACCCTGACTCAAAAATAAATAAATAAATACCAGTTGAATTGTACAGGTGGATTTTATGGCATGTGAATTGTATCTCAATAAAACTATAACCAAAAAAAAAAAGAAGACAAGGCTGCAAAGTTATCTAAGATGACATAGCTGGGAAAGCACCAGATGCCCTGCTGCTCACTCCTGGAGTGCCACCCTCCCACCCGGGCTAAGATAGCAGGTGGGGATGGAAGCCCTACCTCCCTCTCTAGGAAGCTGGGAGATCCTGACCTCCCCACTGAGGTTTTCCTTGACCTGGTATTGTGCGTGGTGGTGATATTGGTGGTATTGTACTGGATGGTCCCTGGCAGTGGTGAGGAGGGAAGTGGGGGAGGGGCAGAGGCCTCCCCCAGTGGTTACCAGGGAGACACAGCTGAGTTGGGGCCTTCTCTGGCCAGTCAGGCCTCACACCAAATGACTGAATGACTGTGGCTCCCAGAACTCATGCTAAGTGAGTGGCAGGGATGGGGGAAGAGGCACTGGACGCAGGGTCAGAGTTGTGGGCAGCCTCCCAAGGTTGAGCTCTAACGTGACAGAGAGCCAGGCAGCAGAGGGGAAGAACCACAGCAACAACAGGCATTTGCAGGACTCAGAGAAGGCGGGGATGACCTCAGGGCAGGAG